CGGCAGGACGTCCCGCGGCACGCCAGTTAACACCGCGTGCGATGAACCGGCGGCGCGGGACACAAATTCGACTACGAGCTTTTTAACCGCAACAACTTTAATATACGCTATTGGAGCTGGAATTACCGCGGCTGCTGGCACCAGACTTGCCCTCCAATTGATCCTCGTTAAAGGGTTTAGAGTGTACTCATTCCGATTACGGGGCCTCGGAAGAGTCCCGTATCGTTATTTTTCGTCACTACCTCCCCGTGCCGGGAGTGGGTAATTTGCGCGCCTGCTGCCTTCCTTGGATGTGGTAGCCGTTTCTCAGGCTCCCTCTCCGGAATCGAACCCTGATTCCCCGTTACCCGTTACAACCATGGTAGGCGCAGAACCTACCATCGACAGTTGATAAGGCAGACATTTGAAAGATGCGTCGCCGGTGCTAGACCATGCGATCAGCGTAAAGTTATTCAGAGTCACCAAGTTGTACGATGACGAGCGCGAACCCGCCACCGATTGGTTTTGATCTAATAAAAGCGCTCCTTCCGTCTCCGGTCGGAGCTCTGTTTGCATGTATTAGCTCTAGAATTACCACAGTTATCCAAGTAAATGTGGGTACGATCTAAGGAACCATAACTGATTTAATGAGCCTTTCGCGGTTTCACCTTAATATGGCTTGTACTGAGACATGCATGGCTTAATCTTTGAGACAAGCATATGACTACTGGCAGGATCAACCAGGGAGCTGTTGCGTTTAGCAAAAAAAAAACGTCGCGTGCGTAACACGATATAGAAAAAGTGTGTTTGTTACACGCGGGTGTTTTTTTGTTGTAATCAAAAGAGAGATGCGTGTGAAGCGCGCTCCGGAAAATAAATTTCGGAGCGCCACGCGCTTTCAAATTCTGATACAGACAAAACATACACACATACACGTTTATATTATGCTGTCAACGAACAGCACACAGCACACAATACAACGACAACACACACACCATCCGCCCGCCGTGAACACGCACGCATGCACACACGTAAATATGTATACACACACGGGAAAAATGAATAAACCGTATTGTGTTTGTATATTTGTGTGTTCGACGTGCGCGCGTACACGTACGAGTGTGCGTGTGAGTGTGTGTGCGCGCGTGTGTGTGTGTGTTTATATAAATATATATGTATACGTCTAACGTATTAATACCGGTTGTACCAGGGCGCGCGCTTTCGTCGTCGTCGTCGTCGTCGCTAAGAGTGACTACGATCGTACTAAGGCGCGCGCGCCGTTACGGTAACCGGTGGAAAACTTCGAACATTCTCTCGACCCTTCGCTAGATTGAAAGCGACACGGTGTAATCGAAAAGATAGTTCTACGTTTCGGTTATAAAGACAACAACTGTCGTCGTCGTCGTATTCTCACTCGGAATGAGGAGAGATGTCGCAAATGTGAAAAAATATTACGAAGAGCGAGCTGAAGATCGTCTTTCGTATATTATACACGTTCGATCGCATTTGGACCGCTTAACGGCTGTGCGCTAGCTAAATCCGCGATCTCGCTGTGGAACGCGCGTATATATATGTATATATGTATATGTGTATATATACGCATAATGAAACATCGAGATAAAACGATAGTGTATGTGCGCGAGGGAAGGACACGCGAGGGAGGGACGCGAGCGACCGTTTTTTGTTCGAGTTGCTGCGCCTCCTCCTCCTCCTCACTCCTCCTCCTCACTCACTATCCACACACCGTCTACCGAGCTCGAAGCCGTTTCACAAACCAGCATTCTTTATCATCGTTCAATACATACGCTACATTTATATGATGCGTTTCGAAAAGCGCGGCATCAATCGCACAATTTCCTATAAGGGCTCGAGTAAAATAAAACAAAACTTGTACACAATTTCTAAACGGGCACGGCAAGAAAAACGAAATCTCTATACTCGGAAATTGTGTAAATTCGTATTCCGTCACATTTTACATTTTTAGCTAAGCAACAATATCCGTAGACGATATATGAAAATATACGTGCAATTCGATATCGCCGGACCTTCCGCCAGCGATTCTATGGGATATTAGAAATAGTGTATATTTTATATATGTTAGACACATTTTCCATATGTAGTGTCGACACTAATTTCGCAGTAAATGTTTAAAGATGTACGAATATACCTATATCACTGTACGTTCAGTCCGAATTAGTAGGTCGTATTGGAAATTGTTTACATCCCATATTTACACATTTTCCATTAGTAGCGGAGACGTTATTTTCGCAGGCAATCTTCGAAAAAGTACGGACATACATTCCGATATTGGTGTACGTTCAGTGTGCGATACTATGTCATATATTGGTTAAAATAGTCTCTTTTCTGGGATACCAGACCTGGATAGACTTAGGTACAAAGTGACACTGTGACTCTAGAGCAAATGTGCCACGTAGCGCTCTGACAACCAACAGTGACTGGAACACTATGTCATATCGGAAATTGTGTAGAAGTTTTTTTTAAATACATTTCCCATTAATAGCGGCCATACTATTATCGCAGGCGAACAATCCGATATCGCTGTACGTCCGGTCAGTGATTCAACGTCATATTGGAAAGTGTGTAGATCTTTAATATTTCGACTAATATTCCAGTTGTAGTCTCGAAAGTATATACTTGAGCGAACTTCGAAAATGTACGAATATTCGAATAACGATGTACTACATTTCGTTTCCGTGATTCTATGTTTATGTACGTGTATATATACATATATATATATATATATATGATATATATATATATATATATATATATGTATATATACACGTACATAAACATGTGATTCTATGTTTATGTACGTGTATATATACATATATATATATATATATATATATATATATATATATATATATGATATATATATATATATATATATATCATATATATATATATATATATGATATATATATATATATATATACATATATGGACATGCTATGCTGTGTTATCGAAAAACTGTAATTTGAAAAGAATATATACATCGAACGGTTCTAATTCTATTATACAGGGTGTCCGCAAAGTTGGGGTTATCCTTTACACGACGTGTAGATCTTGAAAACATAAGCAATTTTTCTTAGTGCCATATACACCAATATCTTAAGGGAACCGAGATAAAGGGCTCTGCAACATCAAAAATATCTGAATACCGTCCTGTAGCCGCCACCCGCCGCGATGCCCCAGACAGGTACCGGCTACTAGCTGAACCCGACGACAGAACTGGGTCGGGGGTGGGGGTCCGAGTGTCAGGTCAGTATGCAACCTTCAACCGACGGTAAAGGGTCACGCGTATAGAGGTATAATAAATATAATAATAATGGCACACTCATATACCAATAATGAACTCGTTGATATGTTGTTAATTTATTAATGAACGTCTTCAAAATGATACAGAATCGTCGCGAGTGTATGCAGATCTTTTCCCTAGACGACATCATCCAAGGCCCCGCAGATTTGTGTACCCGGTCCAGAGAGTCAGGGATACGGGCCATTTGGAGGAATATCGAGGTGGGCACAGTGGGAGGTCTAGACAACCACGAATGGTGCTAGTTGAGGAAGAACTACTGAATCGCGTAGACGAGAATCCCTCAACAAGCACTAGAGACGTGGCTAGAGAAGTGCGAGTATCACAAACTAGAGTGTGGCAAACGTCCAACCTGACGATTTTCCAGCAAGAGTGCGGTTTTGTGAGTGGTTGTTGCATCAACATGACAATAATCCGGACTTTTTGAAGTGCATATTGGTGACAGACGAATCTACGTTCACACGTAATGGGGTCAACTGGAGAGTGAGTACTTTTTCCTTTATATATTTTTTTTACATGGTCGGCCCTCGTTTCACTACGCATTACCTTTGTTATTTCAAGGGTAGTTGTTTCTGAAAAGGAAAAGCCCAACTTTGCGGACACCCTGTATTAACCTTCGGAAATCGTGGATACCCTTATGTTGACTGATTTCGCTGTTGAACAATAAAAACAATGACACTCCGTTAATACTATTAACTGTTAGAACAAGTTACCATACACCGATCCGCGGGGAAAGGAATAAACGATAAGTAATCAATTTTGGGCAGTTAACATCAATTAAACTCAGAATACCAAAATAAAAAGGATTTTCCGTTGGCAATATATTCGGTCTGCTGTTACTTATGGGCTATAAATGTATAAAAAAAATTGTGTTACTTAATTTTGTTATTTTACAAAACGGTCTTCGTCTTCTTCTTCTTCTTCTGCTACGGTCTTCACACACACACACACACACCCTCCTACCCTGTGCGGTCCCTCCACCACCCCTGTTCCAGGCAACCTCAAACCCTTGAGGAGTGGGGGGAAGAGCAATCAGCTCCTCCCCCCACTCCCGCCCAAAGGCCTGGAGTGGCGCTGCGTGGTTCAGGCCGCTTGCGCATTCCCCGAGTGTGTGCTGCCGAACGAGCTATCCCCCCTTCCCCAATTTTGCCCCTTTTTCCCGAAATTTGACTCGATCGCGCACGCGTCGCGGAAGCGCGTGGTGGACGTTTCTTCCAACTGTCGGTTCTCGACTTTATGGCCGGCCTCTTTTCTTGGGGGTCCTGCGCTGGGGGCTTTCGACCTAAGCCCCTCCTAAAGGTTGGTGAGCCTTCGCTCTTTCCTCGTCGACTGGAGTCAGTCAGTCGTCGTCAGTCAGTCATATTTGTAAGTCATTCGTCTCCTGAGGTTAGCCCCGAGTCCGTGCTTGACTCTGGCCACCTCAATCGACAGGCTTCTTTTTGTCCACCCGTTGTACACGGGCTGTTCTTTCCCCTCTTGGGTGTACAACTATTGTCGGTCTTCTCCCCTTTTCTTTGGCCTGATCAGCTGCTAGGGCCAAATATCTTCTTGTTGCAGCTGGCTTTTCGGTCTTTTATGACGCCTTATTGTTCTTGGGTCGTAATCCAAGGCGGCTTCAATCAGCACATTTCTTTTCAAAGAACTTTCTGGCCCTCTCTCTCATCTGGATTACGACCGGTACCTGTCGTAGTTCGTCATATAGCACTCTGTTAGGTACATACCACGGTGCGTCCACCGCTTCACGGAGTGCCATGTTTTGTTGAGCTTGGAGCCTCTTCTTCATCGTTTTGGAAACGTAGCCCCAAGCTACTGCTGCGTAAGTCATGATTTGTAGCAGCACCATCTGAATCATGATGGTCTTATTCTTTAGTGACACTTTGCTTCTTCTGCCCGTTAAGGGTCTTAGTTTGGAGCGTGCCATCTTCACTTTCTGCACCCGGTCTTCGACATGGTTCTTCCAAGTGAGTTTCTGGTCCATCTTGACTCCAAGGTATGTGCTGGAGTCTTTCCAGTCGACCTCAACCTCTTCATCTCTTCTCCAGCCTCTCTCCATTCTGGTGGTCGTCATCTTTATTTTGGTCTGAGGTAATCTTCGATTTCTTCGGAACAGTACCGCTTCGGTCTTCTCGGGGTTGAGGCGGATCTTCCACTTGATGCACCATTCCTCTAGGTTGGTGGTCGCTCGTTGCAGATATTCCGTAACCATGCGGGGTCTCGTACTTTCTGCCGCATATGCTGTATCGTCCGCATACACATACAGTTGCGTTTGAGGAGTCTTCGGGATGTCTGAGCTGTAGATTGGATACAGCAGGGGTGGTAGAACCGCTCCCTGCGGTACTCCTGCCTCCACAGTCCTCGTCGTCGAGGTTGTTTTACCGATCCTAATTCGGAAATTTCGGTGCTTCAAGTAGGACTTCACCAGTTGGATCATCCCCTTTGAGTATCCGTGGTCTACCATCTTGTAGATCAGTCCGTCATGCCAAACAGTGTCGAACGCCTTTGCGGCATCCATGAACACAGCTCCCACGGCCCGCCGAGTCTGGAACGATTTCGTTGCCATCTCGACCAGCCTTAGGACCTGGTGCTCTGCTGAATGCCCGCATCGGAATCCGAACTGTTCGTCTGGAACTACTCGGAGTTCTTCGGTTTCGTTCTTCAGTCTTCGTTCGATTACCCTTTCCGCAATCTTGCTCAGTGCCGTCAACAGGCTTATGGGTCTGTAGTTTTGGGGGAACCTTGGGTCTTTCCCAGGTTTAGGAATGTTGATCACCTCGGCTACTTTCCAGTGATCTGGAAAGTACCGGTGTCTCAGTATGGCGTTGACGATGTTGGTAATTGCCATTATCGCTTTCCTCGGGAGTCTCTTCAGGACTCTGTTCCCAATATCGTCTACACCCGGTGCCTTCTTCACCTTGAGTCTTTCGATGATTTCCCTTACCTCGCCTGGAGAGGGCATGTCTTCGATGGCTCTTCCTCCTCTGACAGCTCTCCTCGATCTTCTCATCACCTCGTCGATGAAGTCTTCGTCTTCATCGGGGTGAGTATTGAGAGTACACTGTCTCTGAAGGTTGTCAGCAAAAGCTTCCGCCTTCTCTTCGGTTGTGTACACCATCCCCTGTTCGCTGTGTATTGGGGGGATGGGCTGTCTTCTATTTCTGAGGATTTTAGCCAAGTTCCACATTCCTGGGTCAGCTGGAGATAGTTCGTCGAGTTTCTTATCCCAGGTGCTCTGATGGTGCTGCTTCAAGGCGTCTCGTGCCTGTCTCATAAGTCTGTTTGCCACCATGATGTCAGTGGGGCTTCTGGTCTCCTGGGCTACTCTTCGGGCTCTGTTTCTTTCGGTGATCTTGCGATTTACCTCGTCAGGTAGGTCCCTGAACCTGTTTGGTTGCGTTATGTCTTCCACGGTGGTTGCGGCTTCTAACGCAGCCTTAATCTTCCTTTCTAGGTCCGTGACCGCTTCTTCTATGCTTTCGGGGCTTTCGATCTGTAGTAGTGGTCCTTGTGAATAGTGCAGTCTGGTTCTAAACCGCTGCCAATTCACTCTCTTCACTGTTCTTTGTTCCACAGGTGTTATCCCATCTCCCGTACAGAGAAAGATGGGGTTGTGGTCTGAGCTTCCCTCTTGCATGGCGCCGATGGTGGTGCGCATGTCGATTTCCTTCAGAATCGCCATATCTATGACGTCTGGTCTACCTCCGTTGCTGGGGTATATTGTAGGTTCGTCCGGACCTATCATGGTATATCCAGGTTCATCCATTAGTCTTTCCAGAACAGCGCCGTGACTGTTTCTGTTTCTTGAGCCCCAAATGGTGGACTTCGCGTTTAGATCACCTACGATCACGGTACTGTTTCCCAGTGCAGTGATACAGGTGACATCTTCCAGATATTACGGACTTCTTCTATACATATATATATATATATATATATATATATATATATATATAGAGAGAGAGAGAGAGAGAGAGAGAGCGAGAGAGAGAGAGAGAGAGATAGATGAAAAGATTAAAATAACGACCACAGCTAATTATCATTTTGCATTTTATCATAACATAGTGGTTCTGAAAAGAACCGTTTTTTTTTTGTTCTTATTTTTCGAACCGTATAACCGTCGAAGCGAATACAACGTCTATATTATTTTGAACTGGTGTACTTGGTGACGGCTTTGGTACCTTCGCTGACTGCGTGCTTGGCCAATTCTCCCGGTAGCAATAGTCGTACGGCTTGTCTGAATTTCTCTGCTAGTTATCGTGGCACGTTTGTTGTAATGTGCCAATCTGGAAGCTTCCGCAGCGATACGTTCGAAAATATCGTTGACGAAGCTGTTCATGATGCTCATCGCTTTGCTGGATATACCCGTATCGGGATGTACCTGCTTCAGTACTTTGTAGATGTAAATTGCGTAACTTTCCTTCCTCCTGCGCTTCTTTTTCTTGTCAGATTTTGAGATATTCTTCTGCGCCTTGCCCGCTTTTTTGGCAGCCTTACCGCTAGTTTTGGGTGGCATTTTATTGTGAGATGATGCTGAGTATAATCGACACCAACGCTCGACTAACGGAACGACTGCAATTCTCTGGCCGTATTTAAGACAGGTGACGGTTACGACCGTAGACTCCGCCCCCAGGCGTTTGCGGCAAACGTTCGCGTCGATTGGTCGGTTAGTTCATATAAATACAACGTTCGCGGAGATCATGTTGTGCTAGAGATGATCTTAGCAGCGACTTGCAAGTCGCCGGGATAACGGTGACAGCGACCTTAAAGTCGCCGGTAGATTTAGCAGCGCTTTAGGTCACTGCTTATCTATGGTCGCTGCCAGCAGCCAGCGACTCCCTGGCGCTGATTAAATTACTCGATATTTGGCGGCGGTTATCCATTGATATTAAGGAGGTGTAAATGTTCAGGTTCCTGAAGTTTTGAATTAAACTATATTTAAGGTTTTTGTTTTTAACAATATTGAGCACAAATCACATAAAATCATAAAAATACATAAAATATCTTTTATGAATCTTAAAAAGTAAAACAAAATACTATTTTACCAGTCAAAATAAAACTTTTAAAACATAACAAATGTAGTATAAAAATGCGTCTTTTATATGTTAAACATTGCTTAATAAACGAAACATTTTTCTATGAAACAGGAACTCACAACAAAACAATAAAAAACTAACAAATAGGTTAGGCTACGCTGTAGCGACCTTGTACTTCCCGCGCGATGATCGCGAACACGATGTGTATATTGCTCCTGGCAGCGACCGCGACCGAAACGCTTACAGCTACCGATCAGTGGTTACCGATACCGATACTTCCAAACAGCGATCTGGGTCGCTGCTTCATGGAGAATAAGGTCGCCGGGACTAACGGCGACCATTCAAGTCACCGGGAAAGGTCGCCGGTACCGATA